TTTTTAAAGGGTAGAAAGGGCATATGTAACAGTTAAATGTAGATGAATGTATGTTTCGAGTATGTATCTTAAAAAGGCGATATAGATATAAAATATAGTATGGGTGTGCGCATGCGCTAAGGAAAGGAAGGAGAGAGGTAGATAGAGCGCGAAGCATGATAACATATGAACTAATAAAATTATGGAAATTACAGGAACAAGGGTTGATTTTTGTTTTGAGTGTGTGCCATGAAATAGGCAGCAGAAAAGGCCGTGACAATTATTTAAGGTGTCTTGATCACCAATTGCCTTAAAACGCAGTGGCTAATAAGCCATGTTCTTCTTCAGAGTTCTAAATTTTAATATTTGAGGGAATTTCCTTCGAAGTATTTAATTATAATTATGTTCTTCTTCAGAGTTCTAAATTTTAATATTTGAGGGAATTTCCTTTGACGTATTTAATTATAATTATGTTCTTCTTCAGAGTTCTAAATTTTAATATTTGAGGGAATTTCCTTTGAAGTATTTAATTATAATTATGCTCTTCTTCGGAGTTCTAAATTTTAATATTTGAGGGAATTTCCTTTGACGTATTTAATTATAATTACATATTAATTTTGTTTAGGGCAGTGGTTAAATTTTGTCAGGGACAAATATTTTTTATGGTACAGGTTAATTTTGGTTCTTCTTCTACTTCGTTCTTAATTTTAGTTTTGGGATTCCCCCCAATACAATTAAGTATACGTGTCAACAGGTTATTCGCCATTTAGGCCGTTGACTCCGATTTCGGCCTGCTTTTTTTTTTTTTTGATTTGCTTCCATAGCCTTTGTCCAACCAAGAACAAACTACAGGGCAGCAGTTGTTTGATTTTGGAGTTGTCTCTTCTAGAAGAGTGGCTGTCCCCAGCTAACAAGCCTCATCTGCCCGAGTGATCAAACTCGAGTCTTATCAGTTTAGAAACCATGAGCTTTACCGACTCGACTATACCAAACCCTTAATTTTGGTTAGAGCAGACGCATTTTTTAAGTAAAAGGCTGCAACCATCGACAACACTTTAGTTTTCATGACAATATAATCGGTTTAATTATCCTACATGTTTAATATAAAATATTTTTCTTCAGAATGTTCTACTTGGAATGTTCACGTTATTATAAGCTAAACAGTAATTTTAAACCCAACTACTGTCTAACTAAATCAAGTAGCAAGATAGTCTCGACTGATAGTAGCTTAGGTCTAGAGGAAGTAGAGTTTACCTGACTCTGTTACTGTAATATGACGTTAAAATATTTGAGAAATCCAGTGTGTTTAGGTCGGCTTATAATTCTTTTTCTACCACCGTTTATTTCCAGTACAATTTATTCAGCTGTTCATAAACAAGAGATATGAGACACACACAGACTCATGGACAAAAGTTTAAAGCCCAAATTTTGATAAATCTGGATTTAGAATTTTTGCCCGATTAAAATAAGGCCCCAATACTCCGTATATGATAATAGTACTGGGGTATAAAACGTTGAAAACTGTCAAGATTTCAAGTGATTTTTGTGCACGATTACAATACTGCCTCTATACTCTGTATACGAGAAAGTAAAAATAAGTGATTTAATTTAAAGTAAAAACAAATTCAAGCTTTAGTTTTTTTATTTCCTTCTTATCAATATCACGTTTATTTAGTTACACACAGACGTGAAACTTTCTAAAACTAACCTTTCAATTAAGTAGTACGACTGACACCTGTGCAGGGCGCTCAATCAACGGACCCCATGTGCACAGCCGCTAACACAATTGGGGCGCCCATCCGTAAACAACCACAGGGGCGCTATTCCATTTAATCATTAATTGTAGTAGACAACCGTATCCGTAGTGTATGGCGCTATTTAAAACGAATGTAGTCGTCATAGGAGATCTCGTGGAGCACGGGTCGCATGATTATCAGGCCGACAGGGAATGCGCCTGTTGAAGTTTAACTGTTAACCCTTTGAGCCCGCCAGGCCGGTAAACCGGCTTCAACATTAGGCATATATGTCCGAAAAGCTGGTTTTCCGGCCCGATGATCTAGCGTCATATTCCTAGCGGCCGGTATACAGTCTAATTAAATATAATTAGCGGATGACTGACTAAAACTGCGCATATGTCTTTTGAGTGCGGGATTATGATTTTAAAATTGATTTTTAGGAAAAGTGAAAGTAAAAGTGTTTACATTTCGTAGCAATGCCGCCGAAACGAAAAGCTGAGCAACAGCCGTCGACTTCATCACATAAAGTTGGTGCAAAAGATGAAGCAAAAGACCGAAATATCAACAAAAGAAGTAGAATGACTGCATCTCAGGCAATACAACCACTTATTGATTCTGATGAAGAAGATAATATCCCTGGTCTATATTGTGATGATAGTGACGTTGAATTTGAGACTGAACACAGTGACATTGAAATTGACAGTGATAATGTAACTGTTCGAGTACTTTCTGATGCACGTGTTGTCAAGGACAAAGACTTGCCGAAACAAAAACAAAAATGTTTACTGGTGCAAAACATGCGAATTTTTTCTTTTCATCGGGTCCGGCAGTGATAACGGTTTTGAAAGTTATCAAACAAAAGTGGACTTCTGGCGTTGAACAAGTATGGCCAGGTATCAATAATAGCAAAACAATTGCTAATTGTAAATTGGTTTCTTCTATGTTCTATCAAAACAATAATGATGTGTTCGTTTTATATACATTGTTCTGTTCAAACAGTGTAAAAAAATTAAGAATTTCAGAATCTTGCTGCATTGTTGTTTGATCCTGAGTCTGCATACCAAATTTGGCTTGATTATCTCAAACGGTTCAAAAGTTATAGGCAAAGTTAGAAGAAGATAAGTGACAATCGGTTTGGGCCTGGGAGCTCAGGAAATGGGAGAAATTAGGTCAGGGAGGCCAGGGCTCAAAGGGTTAAATCAAGTGGTACCACTAACCCCTGTGTAGAACGCCCACTTCACAGACCCCAGCTGCTAGGATAGTGGCCGCCCCTTCAAGATTTAATTATTTTTTTATGGCAGAAACCTTTCCAAAGTAAGCATAACAACTTCCTTAAGTTTTATGGCGTTCAGATGAATGTGTAGTGTTGAAAAAAAAAGACAATAAACAAGCAAAAAATATGCACGAAAAAAAGACAATAAAAAAGCAAAAAAAAATGATAATTCATTTGTATATAATTTTGAAAATTTTAAACCGGCTTTAAAGTATCGGAGTAACGGAATACATTATTTGAAAATAATATGATGCCGTTCGTTTTTTTTTTCAAAAGATTTTAATTATTAAGAATTTACAATTAAAACGAAAGGAGAAAAAAATCAGGGATATGCAGTTTCGCATTTATTAATACACAGTAGGGATACTAATGAAAACTTTTTAAAAAGGAAATCGAAATCAAGAAGAAAATATTACAAGGATTGGATTCATCTGATTCCACTTTGAGAAAAGGATACTGTTATGAAGCTATACAATAAAACGAAACAAAATAATAATTAACATCTACGAAACTATTTACGGGAATCTCGCTCGGTAACTAAACACGAGATAATCGTTCATAAGATGATAGAAACCTACAGGGTCTAATACTTACGTCCACCTAACTAAAACGGTACTTTCGTTATCGTTTTAATTCGCGCGCACATTAACACTGACACATACGCACACATACAGATACAGACAAGATTGTATAACGGGTTATTTTTAGCGCAATTTCCATACTGGCAATTGCGTTTAATAATGCGTCATTTCTGGATGGATGGATGGATGGATGGATGTGTGTCCGCAGCTTTAAGTCGTATTTCCTCCTCAACGAAGCAATATCGAGGACTAGTTCCAAAGCAAATATGTTAAGCAAGTTCCAAGGATGATTGTGGGCAAAAAAAAAAAATTCCCGGAATTCCTTCCTGGATTTCCCGGAAAAGCCAAAAAACCTCGAACAAATGCAGTTTTTGGTCCATATCTCGGCAATCAGACAACTTAGCGACTTGAAACATTTACCAATCGATTCCTGCCATAATTTAGACCAATATTGCCGAAGAAAGTTTTCAAAAATATCCTTTCGTTCGGTCACAAAAAATTAATTAAGGAACATTTAAACTGAGCATCGTGTAGGCCTAGGATGATATTTACTACTTTTTTAACCTGAGCATCTTGTAGGCCTACTCGTTAAAATAAAACTATTTCCGTTGATATAGGTCAATATAGTTGTCTTTTTTCTTTACTTATTAATTCAAACGTTATTTTTGTACCCTATTAATTTATTTATAATTTATATGAGAGTGATAGGGAGTTACAATTACAAGGTTTTGTTTCGCTAGGCCGAATCATTTTTTCACATTAAAAAAAAAATAATTAAGGAAATTGCGCTTAAATTGTCACTAGGCTTTTTATTAACTTGTTTACTTAAGAAGGTGTAAAACGTCGATATTTTGCAGGACTCCGTACGCCTACTTTCTTATATATGAGAAAGTAAAAAAAAAATTTCTCAAATGGTATCCGTGTCACGCTGAGTTAGACACTTGTTTTACACGAAAAAACTTGATGGAAAGTTTTCCTGTATTTGGAGCTCATGGTGTAGTACATGACTAGACTGATACTAGAGTGGACGACTTCAAACAAGGCACCAAATGACCATGCGACCAGAAACGAGTTGGACAACTGACCGGTGATGCTGAATTCTGGCACCACGAAGGCGAAGCCGGTGATGATGACGGAGGGGGTGTACAAGATCACCATGGCAACGGCGATGACGACGACCATGTTCATGGTTTTCTTGTCGCGGTTCGAAACCATCTCGGACTGTTTGTTTTGGACGGTCACCTCGCTACGCCATTTTGTTTTTAGTTTTAGTTTGACGACTAGAACGGACGTGAAGAAACTCACCAATAGGAAAGACGCGATCATGTAGATGCCAAATAATAGAAAAGTCAAACCGTCAAGAATTGGGTCGTGGGGTTTAGAAAATAGAGACAGCAACGTTGAATTCTTACCCGGATAGAATCTCCAGGCTTAATACAAGATGAGATATTCAGGAGCGAGGGGCATAATTGTGATAAAGTAAATAAACACAATTATGAATGTCGCTCTTCTGGGAGTTAAGATTCGTTTGATCTTTAAAGGTGTGGCAATACACAGACACCTTTCAGCGGTGATGTAGACCGTGATCCAGCCGGTGATGCGGGTACAACACAGGTGCAACAGCCCACCTGTCAGGTGCTGGACCTCACCTGTCACTACCGGCAACCCAGCGTTTTCAAACAACGGGTTGAAACACAGGTTGTGCAACGCGAGGATTAACAACCCGCAGAGATCTGAAACTGCCAGCCCGCTGAAGCTGATGTTGACGGTGCTTGAGGCCAGACCCTGACGGTAGAAGATGACGATGTTGATGATGTTGGTGACGATGCCGAAGACGGCTACGATGCTGCTGAGAGCGACAAAGTTGACGACCATGTACAGTGTCTTTACCTCATCATTGAAGACATCGACTACACGATGCGATACTTGGATGCTTGAGTTCGTCATGTTGGAGCTATCCTCAAATTCTTGTCCCAAAGGATTTCATGAACATACTTTGTTTTCGTTAGTTCTATTTGACTATCTTCTTTCAAAAGAGCAACCATACAACACTAGTATTCTTCCATATCATTGCAAATACAAAACTTTGTCAAAGGTCTCCTAAGTTATTAGTCTAAAATTTACTTGATTATAGAAATTTTTAATTAACTGATCTTGCGGACATTTTCTTATGCATAAATTACATAAAATAATATAATTATATTGCAACTGTAATGCTTTTCTAAATAAAAGTACGTAAGTAACTTTATGCAAATGAGAAGAGTTAATTCCTTTCAAACCAAATACTTTCCACTTAGGAGAAAGTGAAAATCAACATGTTTTACTCTAAACCAGAGAAATCGAACAATACGAAAATAAAATAAACCAAATGAGGCGTAGATGAAGTAACAGTAACGAAGTTAACTTTTATATAGTAAAGTATCTGAGTCGAGTTATCTTAAGCCATCCATACTGCTTCCTATGTGCTTATTGAATCCTTTTAATTGAGTCTGTAAGTGGTAATTAAACTCTCTTGCAGTAAAATGTGTAATTAAATTTGAGCAATTATTTTAAAATGTTAAACTTTCAATGTATATATTACAAAAATTGTTCCTTAATTTAAATAATTGTAGCAGAGTCAATATAATTGGAAATTGTAAATTAGCAAAATAATTAAAGACACAATATTATTGATGTACCCATTCTTATATAAAATATATAATCTGTTTTCAAATTACCTACTTAAAAAATGCAAAGCAATAATTAGTCTTACTATTTCTTAAATTTTGCTTAATGTTTAAAAAATAATTAGAGAACGTATGTATAAAGCGCCAAATGATACTTTTGAATCGATGTTTACTTATTAAAATATTTAAAAATATTTAATGATTAGTTATTGTTTTAATACATTTTTAAAAATATGATAATTAAAAGGGGATGGATTTAATTTTCTTTGGTCACTATAGACTATAAACATTCATTTTTTTTACATGTGGGAATTCGGAAAACTTTTATTTGTGTTATTATTGCGTTTGTTTTTTCTAGCTTAGAAAAGTATTACAGACTGCCTACACCGGACCTATTTATTGTGAAAGTGTATTTTAAGTATTCTTTTTGAACTGACTATGAATTCGGTTGGTCTAGATGTAAAAGAGTTTATTTTTTAAATTTTTGATCTCTAAATGTGAAATTATAATTTAATGTGTCTCGATCATCAATGGCCTTAAATGCAGTGGCTAATAAACTATGTTCTTCTTCCTCGTTCTAAATTTTAATATTGGAGGGAATTTTATTCGACACATTTAAATATAATTATGTTCTTCTTCAGAGTTCTAAATTGCTATATTGGAAGGAAATTTCCTTCGACACATTTAAGTTAAACGTGTCAACATGTTACGTACCGTACGGCTTGACTCCAATTTCAGTCTATTTTTCCCACGTTTCCTTTAACTTGCTTTCTCTGTTTGTCTTTCCAATCAAATCTTGCAATCGAAATTTCTGGCACTTCCCAGTTAGCTAGCGCGCTGAAATTTTCAGGGAAGCTTTCTTTTGGATGACCATAGAATATTCAATTGTTATTATTACTAAATTGATCAATGGAAACATTTTATTGAGCATTTTAGACCGCTATATAATCTATATATATAATTCTCCTCTGCGAGCCATTAGAAAAAAAAAACGAGCGACGCGTAGCTCGCCTCTCTCTTGCCGCGCGCAGCGACGCGAAAAGATCCCACGTCGCGACAGGCTTAGGGGCAGATAATTTAGTTTGAACCAACTTTAAACTTACAGGAGGTAACTATTACCACTGGTGGCCAGCTTGGGGGAGACGATATGGTCGAGTGGTTGGGCACACGATTGCTATCCCACTCGACACGGGTTCAAATCTATGTGTTCTAGTCAGTAACCAGCCCTCGTCCTAACCGCTATCAACTAACCTCTGACAATCATTCACTTGCGATTGAGACCGAACAAGAAAGGGTCTCTCGTTTTTTACGAGTTGTCTTTTTACGAGTTGTCTTCGTTTACTCAAAAAAAAGTGAAAAGATAAAATCGATAGCAAGATTTCAATGCAAACAAACAGACAAAGACTAAAAAGTAGAAAATAATAATCATTAAAAAAGTTTTAAAAAACCCACGTTTTCTGATTGAACTAAAAAGTAGAAAATAAATACTATACATCACAATAATGCAAGCGATCACTCTACTATAAGCGATGAAAAACGTGGGGCGCCGTGATTTTCTTACAGTTTCTAATACTGTTGACTCTCTACAAGCTCCCTAATAAAAGTCAATAGTATTATCTAATCAATAGTAATATAACTTTTACTTCGGCGCCCCACGTTTTTGATCGCTTATAGTAGAGTGATCGCTTGCATTATTGTGATGTATAGTATTTATTTTCTACTTTTTAGTTCAATCAGAAAACGTGGGTTTTTTAAAACTTTTTAAATGATTATTATTTTCACTGAATTTGCTACCCTTGTCCACACAAGAACAAACAGCAAGACAGGATGTGTTTCAGTTTCGAATTTTCTCTTAGGCTGCTGTCCCCAGCTAACGAGCCTGGTTTGTCTGGGGTTTGAATTCTGGACTTATCATACTCTCTCCCTCCCGACCACACCGTCCCCTATCGTTATTGTTCTCATGAATGACAGACTACCAGTCGAGCATGGAAAAGTTGAGTTGGTCTTGTGACTACAATGGTCTATTGTGTGGGGCTTGGGTTATTTTCATGGATGAGGGGGGGTACATTTATTGAAATTCGGAGTATTCAATGTTTTTTGAAGGCTTCAACCTGTGGAAGTGGTGGTGGGATTTGATTTGGAAGGTGATACCTATACCTTTAGACTTTTTTTAAGATGATTGTATTTCAGTCACAAATATTAAATGTATACTTATAGTACGACAATTCAAAGACAAAAAACAATAGGAAGTTTCTTAAAAGTTGATGTTTTTTTTTTACTTTTATGGAGCACAAGGTGTGATTTTGTTACGATTTTGCATATTCTTAAAAAAAAAAATATCAAAAAAAAAAAAAAATCTAGTTTATAAATGTCAATGAAAATCGTCATATTGTTTTTTATATCGTTGTTCAAGTCTGTGCATAGTTTCATTGAATTTTATAAAGTTGTTTTTTTTTCTGATTTTTTAGTGAATTTGTAAAATTGTAACAAAATCACCCTTTCCTCAATAAAAGTAAAAAAAAAAACTTTTCAAAACTTACTTGACTTACTTACACAAAACCCCTTAATTTTGGTTGGGGCTCCAACCATCGACAACAATTTAGTTTTCATGACAAAATTTCGGTTTAATTATCCTACATGTTTAATTAATACAAAATATGTTTATTCAGAATGTTCTGCTTGGAATGTTTACGTTATTATAAGTTAAACAGTACTTTTATACCCGACTACTGTGTCACTAAATCAAGTAGTTAGTCTCGACTGACAGTAGCTAAGGTCTAGAGCAAGTAGAGTTTATCTGACTTTGTTACTATAATATGACGTTAAAATATTTGAGAAATCAAGTCTGTTCAGGTCGGCTTATACTTCTTTTTCCACCACCGTTTTTATCCAATACAATTCATTCAGCTGTTCCCAAACAAGAGAACTGAGACACACACAGACTCATAGACAAAATTTTAAAACCCAGGTTTGGATAAATCTGGATTTACAATTTTTGCCCAATTAAAATAACTCCCCAAAACTCTGAATATGATAACAGTACTTAGGTATAAATCGGTGAAAACTGTCAAAATTTCAAGTGATGTGTGTGCACGATTACAATACTGCCTCTATACTCTGTATACGAGAAAGTAAAAACGAGTTTTAAAGTTAAAAAAAAATTCAAGCTTTATTTTATTTCCTTGTTATAAATATCACGTTTATTTAGTTACGTACAAACGTAAAATGTCTAAAACTGACCGTTTAATTAAGTAGTACGACTGACACCTGTGCAGGGCGCTCAATCAACGGACCCCATGTGCAAAGCCGCTAACACAATTTAGGCGTCCATTCGTACACAACAACTAGGGCGCCTATTCCGTTCAATCATTAATTGTAGTAGCCAACCGTATCCCTAGTGTATGTCGCTTTTTAAAACGAATGTAGGCGCCATAGTGCTCATAGGAGAACACGTGGTGCACGGGTCGAATGATTGCCAGGCCGTCCGCGGATGCGCTTATTTAAGTTTGACTTAAATCAAGTGGTACCACTAACCCCTGTGTAGAACGCCCACTTCACAGACCTCAGTTGCTTCGACAGTAGTTGCCCCTTCAAGATTTAATTCTTTTTTTATGGCAGAAACCTTTCCAAAAGCATAACAACTTCCGTTAGTTTCATGGTGTTCTTATGAATGTGTAGTATTGCAAAAAAAGACAGACAACAAAAAAGCAACAAAAAAATTATATATAATTTTGAATTTTTTAAAACGGTATTAAAGTGTCGGAATAAATTATTGAAAAAATAATATCATGACCTTTTTTCAGATTTTTTAAATGATTGAGAATTTACAATTAAAACGAAAGAAAAAATATCAAGGATTTGCTGTATCGCATTTATTAATACACAGTAGGTATACTAATGAAAACGTTTTTTAAAAAATCGAAATCAAGAAATTTTTTTTTACAAGGATTGGATTTATCTGATTCTACTTTGAGAAAAGGATATTTTTTATAAAGCTATACAACAAAAAGAAACAAAAAAATAATAATTAACAACTACGAAACTATTTACGGGAATCTCGCTCGGTAACTAAACACGAGATTATCGTTCATAAGATGATAGAAACCTACAGTTTAATACTTACATCCACCTAACTGAAACGGTAGCCACGTCATCGTGTTTATACGCGCCCACATTAACACAGACACACAAACATACAGACAAGATTGTATAACGTTTTTTTTTTTTAATAAAAAGGTGTAAAACGTCGATATTTTGCTGGACTAAAGTACTTTTACGAAT